GCTCCTTCGGGTCTTCCCCGCTGCCGGGGGTTTGTCTTCTGTAACTGGCAGGAAAAGGGGCAGCAAAGCTTTCTCAAAAGCTCTATCTCTTTCTGCATTTTATTATCTTTTAACTAATTCTATTAGGGATTTGGTTTTCAGAAGCGTCACGAGTAAAAGAAACTTTTCTGAAAGTGACTGCACCAGCTTGAGCAAGAGCTCAGGAGCAGGGCCAGCACAGCCTGCTTTGATTAGAAACGTTTTCTTGATTAATTCTTACTGGAAATGTTAAAAACAATTTTAGAAATTTCGGGGTTTAATCCAGATTTTTCAGACGTACGTCAGTACTCACTGTGCGGCTCCTATAGCCGAGTCAGAGGCTCACACGCCTTCCCACCTACAGGTGGGATTTCCCGGAGAGCCGCGCATTGCCCGCGCCCAGGGCACGGAAAGCTCTTGATGCTGTTTAGCAGAGAGGAATTTCCCTCTGTCATTTCTCTGGATGCTGCAGGCATCCCAATGTGGATTTGCAGGTAGGCGAAAGGCACCCTGGTGCAGCACCAGGGGCGAGCAATCGCCCTCCCTTCCCCACAGCACTGCACGCTGCTCCGAGGTGAGGGAGGGAAGTTAACCGCAGTGGTTAGGCTGGAGCCAGAGCTGGGAGCAGGACCCATCTCTCTGGGCAGCCAGCATGGCAGTGACCACTGGGCTGTTCTGCCTGTGCCCTGGCTACTCTTAGTGATGGACTGATGGTGTTGTCTTGGCAGCGGTTTGAGCTGGGAGCCCCGTTCCCGGGCGGTGGAGCAGGTCCATCTACGCTGCACCGAGGGCTCCCTGGAATGGATGTACCCAGCACGAGCCCTGCGTGTCGTTTTGGAGCCCAACCTCTCCAGTGCCCGGCACACCACTGTCTGCATCAAGCCTGCCAGTGACTTCCAAGGTGCCAGCATCTACGTGGAACGTGCTGGGCAGCTGCATCTGGTGGTAAGCGAGGCAGAAGGGGCTCGACCCCACCACGTGTCTTGCTTCAGTGCCCACACACCGCAACGAGTGGCCCTCTTCCTGCAGGCCAGCCCGCAGAGGGACATCAGCCGCCGGACGGCCAGCTTCCAGTACGAGCTGCTGAGCAACCAGAGCCCTGCTGGCTCTGACTTCAAAAAGATGGCACTGGTCGAAGGTAATAGCAGGGCCAGCCTCAGGGCTTCACTGCTGGGGCAGATCCAAGGTGGCATCCGATATTCCTTGACATGGGCAGTGTGCCCAGGTGGCCAAGAAGGCCAATGGTATGCTGGCTTGTATCAGCGATAGCATGGCCAGCAGGGACAGGGAAGGGATCTTGGTAAGGTTGAACCTCAATTACTGTGTTCAGTTTTGTGCCCCTCACCCCAAAAAGGCCATTGAATGACTCGAGCGTGGCCAGAGAAGGTCAACGGAGCTGGGGCAGGGTCTGGAGCACAGGTCTGCTGGGGAGTGGCTGAGGGAACTGGGGGTGTTTAGTCTGGAGAAGAGGAAGCTGAGGGGAGACCTCCTGGCCCTCTGCAACTCCCTGCCAGGAGGGTGCAGAGAGGGGGGATGAGTCTCTTTAACCAAGGAACCAGCACCAGGCCAAGAGGGAATGGCCTCAAGCTGCCCAGGGCAGGGTCAGGCTGGCTCTGAGGAAGGATTTCTTTGCAGAAGGGGCTGTTGGGCGTTGGAATGGGCTGCCCAGGGCAGGGGGGGAGTCCCCATCCCTGGAGGGGTTTATGAGTTGGCTGACACAGTGCTGAGGGATCTGGTGGAGTTGAGAGCAGTCAGTGTGAGGTTAACAGTTGGACTAGATGATCTTCAAGGTCTTTTGCAACACAGATGATTCTGGGATTCTGTGGTTCTGTGACCTTGCTGTGCATCCCTAGTGACAGAAGCTCTTTTGGGCTGGGGGACTTTGCCATCACAAGGGTGGTCCTGCCAGCTCACAGACTGTTTGGCAGGTGCAGCCTGTTTTCAGATTCCCACCGTGAGTGGCATCTTGTAGGCACGGGAGGGAGCACTGCAGTAGAAAGACAAACTGCCTCTCCATGAGCAGCCAGCTTGTTCCTGGACATATGCACTGTGATACGGGTGTCCCCAGCCCTGGGCAGTACCATCACTGAGAGCACCTGAGTGGGTTTTAGGAGTGGAAATCCCATGTTCAGAACGGATTTAAATTCATCAGGAACCCAAAGCCTCAAAACTGTCACTGGAAATTTGAATGAACTTTTGAAAACAGGATTAGCCACCTAAATTGCTTGAAGCTTCATTTACCTTTCTTTCCTATTCTTACACCAACATTATCCTGCACTTAATAATGCTTACCCCCCCTCTCCATTTATGTATCCAAGGAGCACTGAGGTTGAAGAGGGCTCTTTTCCATCCCAGTTTTGAAAAATCAGGACCTACTGCTGCTGTTGTATCCCTGCTGCCCCAATAAAGAATACCCTGGGCAAACCTCCTGTGAAAAAGGGGAGTATTGCAATGGCAAGAAGCTGCCCTTAAAACAGAGAGGTTAAATAAAAAAAGATAAACTATAGTACTTGTGGGTTGTCCTCTTCTCTCTTCTTTGTTACCTGTCCAAGGTGCCACTTTGCTGTTTGCTGGAGCTTCATGGCATTAACTCAGGGGACATTTTTATTTTAGACATCCTTAAGATCACTGGCCTGATTGCCCAGTGCTCAGGGCAAAAGCTTTTGATAACAAACAGGCTATATACCAAGTGTGTGGATAACAAATTATGTTCATAGGGGAACAGAGCCTGATTGATTCACTGAACCCTACAACCTGCTGTTAGACTCAGGAAGGCTTCAGATGTGGCATAGGCTGTTTTCTTTTATCACTAATATATTGAATGACTTATGCTTCTACCCCACACTTGGAATAAAATTCAACCATATCCACGCTGGATTACTAATGTTTCAGTAGGCAATGCTGGAGTGTTGCCTGGATGTGGAGCTTCGTTGTCTGAAGTCCTTGTACCTCCCAGCACATGCATAGATGCTTGTCTTTATTCCTGTCTGTTGTAATCCACAAGTAATATAGGAGGATCTTCCCCTCTTTCTGTCAGAACCAAATTTGAAAAGGTTGAAAAATGATGGAGGGTAGGTATGTGCTAGGTGCTGTGTTTTCTTCTGTATTTTTTGCACGCTTTATCAGTTGTTAAAGGGATTATATGCTTTCAGGCCCTGTTGTCACTCAATGACTCTTACAAATCCTCTTTGCTTTGGTTGTATTTGCATAACAAGAATTTTGGTTTGCATCTGATCATAATGCTCTTTAAGCAAGTAGTTCTGCCCCACTTCCTCTCATAATTCACCAGTCCTTTAGCAATGACACATATAGTATAACAAGTAACTAACTGTTCTTTTTTTCTAGCTATGTGCCGTCCTTGTGATGACGTGGAACTTCTTATGGCCATTTGCAGCAGTGATTTTGGTAAGCTGACTAAAGGGAAGTCGTTCTGCCTTTAATCATGCATTGATTATTTGGATTTATTTGCTTCTTTTCTTAAAATAACGGCATGACTGTGCTCTATGATCTGAGAAAGAAACTAGATTTGAAAAGAATTTGAATGAGGGGAAATAATGAAATCTCGAAGGGAGAAGTGTTCTTTCAAAGTCCTCATTTCCTGCAGGCAGAAGGGTTATGATCTAAAACTGAACTGAAGGTAATTCTCACAAGTGTGCTGCTGGCTCTCACACATAACAATCACACGTGTGTAGACACACATACACACACATTGTACATTCTTGGTAGGTTCCTTTTTATTCCCTTGATCCATTTAGGTTTGTTTTTTTTTTTTTCCGATGATGAATATGCCCTCTCTCCTCCTGCCCAATTTGCACACTTCCAAGTTCTTTTTCTGCAGAGGCAGTGAGTTTGTAACTTAGCTAAGAACTTCAGGTGCCTTAAACTTCCTTCAGTGACACACTGGTTAGGTTTCATGCCTTATGAGAAATCAAAGCAGTTAATATTCCATAAGGTAAGAAATAATAAATACTGATTTGATGGCACATTAAGAGCTTTTTCCATCTGCTCTACTTAATGCAATATATTTTTTTCTTTTTCTCTCAGTCATGATTCATTCATTTTATTCCCATAGTTTTGCAGATGAATATTTGTACCTCTGATTATGTCCAACAGCTGAACCTATAGAACTGCCTGTCCATGTGACTGTAATTATATTGCTGTAAATGTACCCATGTAAAAAGTAAAACTATGAACTATATTTACCCCTATGCAATGTTTAAAAAAACCCTCAAAATTAATGCTTTTCTACTAGGAGTTGCCATGCTTCAAGTCTACTGATAAAATGAAGCACCAACATCATTGTGCTAATATAAAACCAGAGTGTAGAGCATGCTTCTCTTAGAGTGCTCCTCATCTGGTAATTTTTCTTCTTCTAAATTAATTGATGCAATCCAGCCCATTGTCTCTACTTGATGGAGTCATCAGTTCCCATGCGAGGTGCTCTGCCACTGCACTGCCTGAAAGACCAGAGACTGACAGATGTGGAGGCCCAGGCACACAATGGGGGGCACTTACAGCAGCAACAGAGCAGAAGAAATGGCCCTTTGAACTGACTCTATTTATGGCCTGACTTCCTTGCCCTAGGCTCACAAATCGCTATCATCAACTTTTTTGATTAGAGAAAATAGCTGCTAATGAAAGTGTAAATGACACTGGGAGTGAATAGGGGCTTTATAGTTATTCTTAAAATGGAGGTCTTCAGTCACTGTGCCCTGAGCAGCACAGGAGCAACTTGGAGCACCAGTAACAAGTGCATTATAGCTTGTCAGTAGACTTGACTGCATCTGATTAAAAACGAGGGAGATGGAGAGCAGACACATCTGTTACACAACACGCTGGATTCCCTTGGAAATTGAATTAGATGAGGAAGTTCTCAGAAACTTTAGAAATAAGCTTTTTCTGCCTCTGGGGTTGTTGAGTTCTCCATACCTGAATGAAAGAGTTTTGTGGCAGAAGCGTGGTTATGTTCCTGTTGCATTGATAACCTCTTGTTTGCTCAAGAACTCTTGGCTCAAATGGTGGCATATTTCTTCCTGAGCCTTCTCTGGGCATGGGATTGGAATTAATCTAGTTAATAGAAGAATAATTGATTGATGTGAAGAAGAGGGGCAGTGAGAATGAGAAAAATGGATTCAGGATAGCAAACACAGTCGGATGGGATGTTTCATTCTCTGTGATGCAAAGGATGCTGTCAGTTGGAAAGACTATGGCTTATTATTCTTTCATTCCTAGAAAACAGCTAGGATCATTGTGGAAGAAGGAGGTACACGTATGCTATGTGATTTTAAATAAGGCTTCAGATAAAGCCACTTTAGAAGTTCTGCATGTCATTCATCAACTCCCAAAGTGTATTTTGATGGACAGATGAATGCCATTTTCTTTTGAGGAACAAAATCCCAAACCTTTAAATGAAAAACATTTAACAAGCTCTTATTTTTTCCAATCAAATAATATTCTGATTCATCTTGGATCAACCTCTTTTACTGCTATCAAAGGAAAAACTTCAGAGTCCCCTGAAAGCAGGAAGGAGGTAGCCTGTGACAGTCATTGTCTTGGAACATAGACTGAACAAACTGAATCCCTGTGCTTTTTTATCCTTTACTGCGGCTTTGCATTGTCAAGCAAGTTATATGCTTTTTGCTCAGATGTTAGTTGGTTTGGGTAGTCATAAAATAATGCTTCCAAGCACATGGCACTGTGTGTAGGGATCCTGTGGGTAAAGGATGCAATGTAAGCTCAGAAATGTGCCCACCTGTAGGTGGTAGGTGTACAAACTGCGCAACAAATCTGTTTCTCCAGTTATTCAGTGAGCTCCTAGTACCTGAACTGCTTACCTGCTGCTCCATAACCAACTCCTGTCTTCTTCACATCTAGTGGTGAAAGGATCAATCCAAAATGTTTCCCACGATTCAGAGAACCACATGTCACAGGTTGATGTCAGCGCCCAGAAGGTCTACAGACAGAAAAACAGAATTTTCCATCAGGATGAAGCAAGTGGTGAATGGCAAGGCCCTGTACGAACCCTGCTGCAATGCAAAGTGAAGAAGGGAGGTGGAGATTTCCTTTTCACTGGAAATGAACATTTTGGTGAAGCTTGGTTGGGCTGTGCGCCTCGCTTTAAAGATTTCATGTTCATTTACCAGGCTGCCAGAGAAAGAGGAGCCAACCCATGTGAGTTTCAGCTCAACTGACGGGAGGTGAGAGTTGAAAAATTTCAACCCAGTTTTTGGACACTGAGTCTGAACTAGAGTTAAAAACAAGGACTAAAGCTAACAATTTCACCGAAAGTGGCGCCTGGAGAATTTCCTGAAGATAAAGGCTCTGTGAGCCCTGTAAACTCTGACTTTTAATCCACATTTTCATTAGTGGCATTAGTTTCTCCTTCTTCCCATCTTCTTGCCTCACAAAATAACTCTGAATTTTGAAAAGGTTGTTGGGGTTTTTTTGTGGTTAGAAATCAGCTTGTGCTCAGTATTACAAAATTCTCTCTTAACATTTTTTGCTCTGTGTACATCCTGTGTGCTTTATCTCTAGATTATTTTCTCTCCTCCCCCATCTCTACTTGATTTCCCTTCCAAATGGTGTCTTGTTTTGTTTTGTTTTGATTAAAAAAGAATGCTAACTATAGCCTTAGCCGTAGTTACTAAACCTTCAGGCAGTTGTCAAGTTTGGCAGGTTTTTTGTCTTCTGTACATTAGCAGAGAGATTAATTTACCCTCTGGGGCAAAATCACCGCGGATGTAATTCTGCAATGCAGTGTTGATTTCTGCACAGTTGACAGCATCTGATTTTGCTCCCCATGCAAACAGGCCGATGGGGGATACTGCACCTTAGCTAATATGAACACTAGCACTGTATGACTACCAGATGAGAAAAGGTGTTTGGGAAATGCATTGAAATAATTGGAAGTTTTGGTTGTAGCGTTGTCTGTGTGAGAATGTAGTATCTGGTATTCATAGTACTGGGCCCACAGCTCGGTCTTGCAAACTGGCTGTTTTAAAGTATTGGAGGATTGTCCTGGTTTTGTCTGGGATAGAGTTCATTTTCTTCCCAGTAGCTGGTAGAGTGCTGTGGCTTGGATTTAGTATGAGAACAATGTTGATAACACACCGATGTTTTTAGTTGTTGCTAAGTAGTGTTTATACTAAGTCAAGGACTTTTCAGCTTCTTCCCTGCCAGTGAGGAGGCTGGAGGGGCACAGTAAGATGGGAGGGGACACAGCCAGGACAGCTGACCCCAACTCACCAAAGGGCTGTTCCGTACCGTGGGACATCATGCCCAGGATATAAACTGGGGGGAAAACTGGCTGGGGGCCACTGCTCAGGAACTGACTGGGCATCGATCCAGGGTAGTGAGCAATTGCATTGTGTGTCACTTGGTTTGTATATTCTAATTATTTTATTATCATTATTATAATATTATTATTATTTTCATTATTATTAATGTCTTCATTTTCTGGCTTATTAAAGAGTCTTTATCTCAACCCATCAGTTTTACACCCCGCCCCACTCCACCCTTGACTCCTCACTGTGTGGAGGAGTGAGCAAGCAGCTGTGTGGCGCCTAGTTGCCCGCTGGGGTTAAACCACAAAAAGGTTGTGCAGGGATATCCAAGTATTTGGATTTTGAGAGCTGGAGATCAATGTTTTATTTGAGATTTTAAATGGAGTACTCTTCTTTGGTTGGTATTTGCACTGTAAATATGAGATAAAATATGTTATTTTAGTATAGATTAGAGGTACTACATTTCTTCATGTTTTGTATATTTGTAGATGTCCAACTTGTGTAAGTTTTTGCCTTTTAAAGGGTCCTTAGCCATTTCTAATAGCATTAATATCATAATTAATTTTTGCTTTCATAGAGTGTCATCCCTTTTGAAATAATGTGCTTTTTAAATAAATGAGTAGTTTAGTGAATGAGTGGTTGAAAAACTGAAATAACCCGGTGTGAAGTGAAACAGCATACTTTAAAATGCATGTGATCTGGTGATTTAATCCACAGCTTTGTGGACTTCTCGGCCTTGTAGTGAGAAACCTGAAATCCTTGCACTCAGTGAGAATAATGAAAACTTTATTAGAAATCATGGATGTTGGATATATTAATTCTATTTGACTGTAATCTCCTTATATTGCATAGAGTTGAGATCACTGTCATGATATCAGTTACCATGAGAGGTATCCAAATGTTTCCAAGTGGTGAAGTTTTTAAAAAGCTTTTATTGGAGAAAATCTTTTTGGTTTCATTTTGTTTCAGATTTTAAACGAATATTCTGACTTTTCTGGGGAAAACATGTAATGTTTGGAAAAAGTTCTGCTGTGCTAAAATCAACAACGCTACTGCTGTTTACATTTGGTCCAAAATTCTTCCAGCATCAAGACTGAGGATGTTTAGATACATCCTGAGTTTAGACCTGAGTAACAGTGGGGCAAAACAACTAGTGTTTCTGTTGGGATAAAATGGAAAACTTGAATCAGTGGAAGAGCAGTAAAGTAGTTGAAGAGTAACATAGGATCAGGTCATACACTTCAATTTCAGTGACTTTATTAGTGTGACAAGGTGGACAGTCATTATCACAGCAAGGAACTGTGCCTAGGTCAGGGCATTTTAATTTTGTTTCCCAGTGTTTTAAGCTCTGTTAGCCTAGGGTGATGTGGTTTTCCAAGTACTTAGTTTCGAGGGCAGTTTCTTCCTGTGGCATCTTACCTCACATATTAGTTCCTAACTGAACCATAGAGTCCTTTCTTTAGCCACAGCAGAATAAAAGCTGAAGGGAAATAATCTTTCTTGCACTAGCTGTATTAGTTTAACGGTTGCATTTATGCGCTCATTTAGGCTTCTCAGACAACAAGAGGTTGAACAAAGACAAAACATATTATGCATGCAATTTACAATGCCCACTGCTTCATTGTGTATGTCATTTGATTGTATCACAGGTTCACCTGCACTGCTTTATTTGCCCCCTTCTTGCAAAAGAACGGACAGAGGCCAACTGTATTGAGGGTATGAAGCATTGAAACCAGCAAAAATGAAGCCAATTTATAAAGACAGAAAGGTGGTCTGGGAGTAAGAGAGGTGAAGAACAGCAACAAGGAGTTTAAGCTACAGTTGACCGTAATTCTTGCTTAATGGTTAGAATCAGCACCTTCCATAAAGCAGCAATCTTCCATGTAAGATCTGTTCTGTTGCTTGTTCTCTCCATCGATGGTAAAACCTTTCAAAAGAGTCCTAGACATCCTAAAGGAGACATTATCAGTACAGTTCCAGAGATCTATTACAGGAAGTTACATATCCCAGGAGCTTGGTTCTGTGTTCAAGAGCCATATAGAAGAGAAACCACTTCTGTGGCACTAAACCCTTTGTTCAGTTGTTCCTCTAAAATTCTGTGGATTTTCCTCCTTTCAAGATGAATAAATAGGTCGAGGCAGCATAACAAAAGCACAGTGATTCAGGGAACAGGTACTAAAAAGAAAGTAAGGATGCCAGAAGCATCTTCATGTTCATCTAATGTTTTTTTTCCAGTCTTTGGGGATCAGTTTCTCTGATTGCATGCAGGAAAAGTGGGTCACAAGGGATTAAATACTATCAGTGTTTCACATATGGAGAGTTGAGGCAATGAGAGAATTCTTAGTGGAATTGGGTGCCAGCTCTCCTTAGTTCTAACTTTAAGATCAGAGCTACACTGACTATGGGGAAGGGGGAACCTAAGTTATAGTCCAAACATATTTGTGAATATCGCAAGCAAACAAGTGATCTCCTTTCTTAATTGTGCTTGAATTTAACCCAACGAATTATCATTACTGAGGAAAATGTCTTGCACATTTTGTCCTTCAGCACTGCAAGCTTAAGTCTTTCAGCTTCTCCCAGGAAGGGAGTGAAGCCTTTTCCATAATCCTTCTGACCTGTAACATTTCATAAAGCAGCAGGGTTCTTTATGCACTTAATCATTTGGTCTTTGCTGGGCTTGTGCCTGATGTGTAGATAGAGATTCAAAAGAGGGACAGGACACTTTCCCGTTCATTGAAAGACAAAAGAGCTGCAGGAATCTCTAATGAGTCTTTGAATGACTGGAGCAACACCATGAAGTAAAGGTTTGTGAATAGACACTGCAGGCTAAGTCTTCTTGTCTGATTTGAATGAGGTTTTGCCTGCTTACACCAGAGTGGATGTGGCCCTTTTTGAATGCAGCTGGTCTTTTCCTCATGTCTACCTTGCCTTTTTTGTGCAGTTTCAAATGCACTGAATTTTCAACACGCCATTCTGTAGGAAATTAATTACATGAATACAGGCTTATTCCCTTTGTTAGGGATTTGACTCATTCAGTTCCTTTCTCCAATTCTATTATTATTTTTAAGGTAAATGTTTAAATATTTTTCGCTGAAATGTAAGCTCAACTTTTCTCTCAAACAAACGGATAAGAACCCTGTCTGTGTTAAAGGATTTTACCAGACTGTGGGTATCTCTAGGCTTGCTTTATTAACAATTCAGAGTTGGGCCATCACCTCAGTGAGTGGCAACAGCTAACAAAAAGCACCCTCTATATATACGATATAACATACAATACAAAGAATCTTTGGTGATTTTCCAGGAACTTTCAGCTCTCAATTCATCATCAATTTCAAAAGTCCATTGTATTCCACAGTTTCGGCTAGTTCATATCATTCCGTTCTAATTCCTCTTCGGACACCACTGTTCACCGATGCAGTCTTCGGTCATCATGGTTAGTTAACTTCTGAACAATCTTAATCATAATTCACTTTTAGACTTCTGAGAAAAGACTCAGTGTTCTATTTAACATCTACTTAATCTGTGTCTAGCTTTTCATTACGTAGCTTTTCTAGGTTGCTTAAACTGTCAGTATTGTTCCTAGAGCACCTGTGCTCTATTGCAAACAATATATATTTATTAACTATTCCTGATATTAATAATACCCTAAGAGAAAACAGTTTTCTAAAGCTTGTTCTTTTTACAGTTTGTATAACAAAGTAGAACAGTAAGTCTTCTGCCACAGTATGGAATGGGAAAGTCGTGGCTTTCAGAGACCTTAAAAGTTCTAGCAGGAAGGCACAGGAGCTGTGTGCCAAAGTCTCGAAATCAGAGGTTTATGCTGAGCTTTGCTGCTGACTCAAGTATCGGATACCTTCTGCTGTCAGTGAGAGAGCCCATGTTTTAACATCTCTCCTATGAGCTTGTTCTACGCATTTGTATGCTTAACTTCAACATGGGAAGAATAATAATTTTTTCTCTTTTTCTGTCCTTGACCAAATATATCTTTTCTCCCTTTTTAATGGTCCTGATCTCATTCTATTGAAATCTGGCAAAGCTTCCAAAATAGTCATGGAGAGTCAGAATTAATAATATTTATAGTTTTTCTGAATGCTTTTCTTCATTTCGAAGTGATGAGTTTTGTTTTCAGTACAATGCAGTGATAATTTAGTGGTATGTCATTCATGCTTCTGTAGTTAGTACAGTCATACTTAATGTATTTATAATTGTGTCTCAGGATATAATCCCAGTAATGTTTGAGAAAGCCACTGCTTTATCTTCAGGGAAATAATATCTCACTAGTTAAAGGAAGAGTCTCACTGTCATCCATAGGCAAGTACCTGAAATAAATCAGGGGTCATCAGGGAATATGGGAGCTCCAGGTCCGCTGTCAGACCAACTATTACAGCATGCCACAGAGCAACAGCCCTCTTCACTTTGAACTTGAGAAGTTACAGCAAAATTGCAACGTTTTCACCTACTACAGTGCCAAGACTAAGGATATCCAAACTGCTTGAGTATGTGTCATGCAAAATGAATGCTTGACTTGAATCCTAGGAGATTTACTTTTGCAAGACAGATACTCCTGACTCCAAAAGATAAAGTGTTACACTTCATTAAAAAGTGTTGCTGATAATTTTACTTAAAACTTTGGTTTTGACTCCTTATAAATGAAACCCTACACAAACTACCTTGTTGCAGACGGGAGAATAAAAGTAGGATTTGCAGGCTTCTAAGATACAACATACCTTTACAGACAAATGTGGAAACTCTCTCTAAATTGGGGGAAAACCTTAACCTTCAAGCAAAAATATCCTTTCTTCCTCCACCAAGAACTACTTGATTTTTAAAATGGAACATAGCTGCTGTAAAAAGTACAAATTCTCTTCTTGCACTGAAAAACATTAGGGAGTTAATAAAAACAAGACAAAATACAACTAACTCACCTCCTTAAAGTTCTGTTGAACTAATTTAGGATCAAGAATTGTTCGTGATGGTATTTTCACTTAAATTATCTGCCTCTTTTCAATTAGCTTTTATTATTTTAATGGTGGCTCCTCCCACCCTCCCTTAGTGCTTTGGCTGGACTCACATAATTGCCTATATTTTATGTAAATTGAATTGTTACACCATAAAATTATATACAAATGTGTCTACCACACAAAGTCCAATAAATGGTGTGAATAAACCCATTATTTTCAATGTAACGGCATCTGATAGCAGCCTGGGAAACACAGGGCTGACAGATGTGAGCCCCTGACAAGGCTTGGAAAAAAACTGAATGAGGAGCACTCTGACAGACCACAATTAATTGATTTTTGAAATAACTCCTTTTTTTTTTTTCAAAGTTCTACTTGGCTGAGCAAGATTCACAAATTGCTGTCTTAAATTTTTTAATGGGACAAAATAGCTGCCAATGAAAGTCTAAATGACATGAACTTTGAATAGGACTCATACAATGACCACACCATGACATGTTTTTAACTGACATATTGATTATTTGAGAAGTAGCAGCCACTCAATTGGGAATCGGAAAGGGGGGGAAGAGATGGGAGAGAGTCAAAGAACTGGATATAGAAACACAGTCTGTTAAACACTAGCCAAATACAGTTTTATTTTAGGAAGAGAAGCAATTATTAAGAAACATCTTGATAAACATTTTCACACGTGTTCCCAGAGAATATGATTTGGAGTCCAAGCCTGTTGTTCCTTTTGCTGTGAAAAAGTCATCACAAAGCTAAATCAAGAGGAAATTACATTAGCAAGAAAACAGACTTTGTATGAGTAATTGCACATGCTGAATTCTTTGGATTTCAGTATCTGCTCAGGACCCAGGCTATAATTAGAGTCAGGTTTACGCAGGGTCAAAGTATCTGTGTGTGGAAACCAAGGCCAAACTCTGGCAGACCTAACTGCCCTCTTGATCCCAGGGACGTCATGGGACAAGTATTTAGTGAAGATGCTGATCAAGCAGTACTGTTGTCTGACTCTCTGGGAACTCTTCAAAGAGTTTATTCACCAGAACTTTCATCAGCCCAACTCACTTGGAGAACTTTAAGTGGAAAAGTCAATTTTCAGTTTGTTTTGACTAATTTCTGAAAGTCTCTTGAGCCACCAGAGCAGGTCCCTGTTGAGCTGCTTTCCACTGGCCCCATGGGAAGGCAGCAGCTTGCAAACCACAAGCCCTTTAGCTTGATTTCACCAAGTAATGTTAGGAATCATCACACATTGCTGCTTCCAGATGTAGCTTAAGCTGGCAGATGCTGGACATCACCTAATGCTTTTTTAAGCAGCCTCACTGCACGTACTGAGGCCTTACTTGTTCATCTTCCCCCAGCTGATGACCATGTTTTTGCTTACCCAAAAATGGTCTCCAGTTTCCTTCGCTGGATAGGATCTTCCCTTCATCCTCGGCAAGGATGCAACGTTACTGGTAAAGGGTGCATTGCTCAGGTGAAGGAGATAGTTTAGGATGGCATTTGACAGGCCAGATGGTACAGCAGTGGCTGTCCTTTTCTCTCTTCCTCAGTTTTTGTGTAACTCAGCGAGTTACGTAGTGAAAGACCTGTTTTGTACACTACAGCATCTTTATTTATGCCTTCCTTACTGCTTGCTTCAACTTTGAGCACAAAACAAAACATTCAGAGTTAGGGTTTACCATGAGTATTTATTTAATTAAAAATAGTACAATTCGTTCACTTTACATATATATGAAGTAACATGCGGTGTACATACTAAAGTACATGGCTGATTTATCAGTACAATCAACAGGTTTATAATTACATAAGCATTTTTTCTTCTAATTGCAGTATTTTACTGATGTGTGGTTTCATTGAAGAAAGGATTAAACAGATTAGTATATTTTCAGTGGGCAAGTATTTCTCCATTTACTCCCTTGTACATTAATATGCAAATCATTCCACATGCTCATGGGTTTATGAACTCCAGAATTAGTTCTTTTTCTAGACGGGATAAATTGGGTTCTTTATAGTATTAAAAAGAGAAGTATAATTAAAACACATGCTTGTATCTACATTTTATTTAAAACTAGTACAGCTTTGATAGTTACTGGCTGAGTAAAAACACTTCAGTTGTGTTGAAGAGGCTTTTGAACCATTATTTATCATGCTATAACTAGTATTTTTTTTCCTAGTGGTATATCACCCCAATATTTTGATATATCCATGATATCTGAAGCTAACCAAGATAAGAGTTTTCAGAAGTGCACCAATTCAGTTACACATTTCTCATTTCATTCCAAATTAACAGAACCTCATTCTAACACTTCTAGTCATTCATAGCATAAAAGAAAACAAACAAGAAAGAGATTCAGGAATACAGGAGCAGGCTTGTTTCACTGCTTGTGGTAATCCAGAAAACCTCACATGTTATATACTGTTGGTCATACACCAATATCACATTAAAGAATACAACCTTGTCCAACATAAAAGATCTTCTTTGCTTGCGTATCACTCCAGACTATGGCTAAAGAAGCCTCTAGACTTAGAGGTTAATATTAAACACCCCTTTAAAGTCAAGAAACAAACTACAGAAAATGTGGACTTTTTCCACTGCACAAACCGCTGGAGCACTTTTTCCCTGTGAACAAGGGGACAGAGTACTCCTTCCGTACCCTACGGAGCGGGTCTGAGCCCTGTGGCACAGCCAAGCAGCCAAAGGGACAGGATTTCTCAGAGGAAACTGCTCTTATCCCTCATGGCTGAAAAACTGGAAGTGCAGAAAAAAGAGGTTTGCATTCATTGTTGGCTCCTAACAGGACACATCCTCCTTCTGCATCTTTTGAAGTGTTCTGTTTAGTTTGATAGTACAAGTGCTGACTTGCTTTGAATAGTTGAGACCCTTGAAATAGTACAACTACTCCAAAGACAGCCATGGCACATTTAGGTCGACCATCAATTCCATATCCTATTCCAGCCAAAGAAATGGAAGTGCCTTATCAGCCTTATGCTGTCCTCAACAAAGTACTAAGAGTTCACAAACCAAGAAAAATAGAGACACCAAGCCCTAATTCCTGCAAGTTTCTCTCAAAGCACTTTGGCTAATATGAAATGTGGTCACAGAGGTTCTTCTGAGCCTTCTAACACTTCCCCTTTAAACTGCCAGCAGTAGCTTTGTGTTTTACTTCACCCAGTCCCATAATGGGGAGTTTTACAAATCAAAGTCCAGGAAGTCTCTCATGTGAGCTTTCCTGTTCTTCATGGACTACTGCAAGAAGAGTTAACATAGTTAAGTCCAGAGGCACAAACAAGATACAGGCCCAATAACTATGAGATCCAAATAACTTAATCAGTAGGCAATCAAGGTAAGTAAGAAATGCAGTACAGATTCCTCTGTACATGGTGAGGACTTCTGAAGACATACCACAACCCAAAGCAGAGCAAACCAAGGGAATTAAAAATCCATCCCCATCCCAGTGGGAATGGATGTATATTCTCCTTTGTGCTAATTCCATGTATGTTTCCAAAGACTCACCTGTCTGCCCACAGGCTTCACAGAGAGGAAAGAGCATTTTCTAGGTACTGTGCACACTCTCTTGAGACTCTTTAAATCAGAGTCCCAATAACATGTAGGAAATCCAGTTTCTACCACCTGAACAACAAAAGATACACCAGCAGAGACCATCCTGCCTCACAAAGAGGAAAAGCTTTATGACAGGAGACCCTGCTTTAAACGAACAGCACATTACGCTCCATATGCAAGCCTCAGCACACAAAAAACCCCACTGGAGAGTCTTCAGTGTGAAGATGTGAAACGTTCTGGGTCAGAACATGAGACACAATGCTTCACCCACAAACCATATTACAAGGCACACACTGCTGCTCTGCAGGATGTCTTCCTGAAGGCTCTCTGGCATATTCCCAGCCTCTGAGTCATTGTCATTTATTTCCTGGTGATTTTCACACCATTTCTTATTTGTCAACTCTAAACATCTCTGCATTTCCATTCTGATGAGATCAGTCATACTGGCTTTCATAACGTAGTGTCACAAGACCTAAACTTACTGATTTTAATAGTTCATTGTGTATCACCTAATGGAGACATACACCGAGAACACATGTACTGCAAATCCTGACTATGGATAACAGTCTGTGTATAGAGAAAAAGGCAACCTCAAAGCCTGGAACCTGAACTTGTCAAAGTATTCTTCCTGTTTCTTTCTCAAAGAGGTTACTGCTACCTGTGGAACACATTTGGACCCGAAAATGAATTCTGGGGATCCTTTACAGAAAACCACAGAAGCCACAGCAACTACTGAAGACATTTAACAATGGTTTCATATAATAACTTTGCTTTTAGAGGCACAATCAACGTTTCACAATCATCAACATTTTACTACATCACTATCTAAAGGCTTTAGCAATTCAGACCAGCAATCAGCAGATTTCCTAAACTGCTTAAAAGAGCTAATAATTTTTGTCTCAATTTTCAAGACTTCTTAGGCTAATACATACAAAGAGTTGCCGCAGGACTGATTATCTGCATGTAAGTACTAAGGTAAACTAAATGATGATATGAGACCTTACTATTTCATTGGGCAGAGAGAGAGAACAGTGCCACTGGAAAATAACCAGAAGGCAGGGTACAAGGCTTCAGTAAACTGAGTTTTGAATTTATAAATCAAGTTATGCTTCTCCCCAATAGCCATGAAAATCACAAACCCTCCCTCGCAGTGGAGCAGCACACCAACCTTGGTAGTCTTCACATTGGGTAAGCACTTTTCAACATCATTATGCCAGGATGATATTTTGGAATTAAACCACTCAATGCACCAAGAACTGCTGTTCCTCCCCAGGCGGCTCTCTGGTCCCTGCCGGTCCATGCTGCCGTAGCAGATGCCAATGCCACAGAAGTTGTTCTGCTGCAGTTCCACTTCCCAGTAGTGGACACCTCTCTTGAAGCACTGGAACCCCAGCACTTGGAAACAGTCGGTGAAGCGCTGAGGGTGGTGGTTATAATTCAGGGAGGTGTCTGAGACAGACATCATGGTATATCTCTCAGACAGAACCACTTTGTTATGAGCTGTGTTGAAATCCAGCGTGATGTTAGCAGCATCTGCAATGACATGAATCATTTGAAGGTACTGAAGAGCACCGAACAATCCCTTGGGGAGCAGCCTACACCAGGGGTGAACAATGCCAATGGGAAGAAACAGGAAAAGGAAGGGAATTACACCGTGGTTAGAGAACAGCATTAGATATAAGCACTGCTGTCTCCTGGGTATCCCCTTCTTGGGCTCTTCAGATACTACAAGACCTGAGATTTATGAAAAAGTTACAGGTAGGAGACTCTCCTGAACATTCACAGCTGGCTCGTTCGTATACGAGCTTCTCTTTGAGCTGATAGTGGCATAATGGTTGTACTCAAAGAGCAGAGATATTGCTGTTAGAGGAGACAGAGTGATGGAAGTACTAGGGAGTAGCAGACCATCAGTCATTGCTGAGATGACCACCACAAAAACTGCTGTGACATTTTACTGTCTTTTTACAAAAGCAAAATGAAAACCTCACCAAGGAAAACTGTTGTTAAGGGCCAGTAGTGTCTATTTGTGGCACTGATAAAGAAACACAGCATTCAAGAGCTTTCCATTGAATGCTGAGGAGAGGAGCCCTCTAGACTACAGGCTGCCCCGGGAGGGGGTGGAGTCACCACCCCTGGATGTGTTTAAGGGTCATTTGGAGATGTTGGGGATATGGTGTAGTGGAGAACTTTGCAGAGTCAGGCTGATGGTTGGACTCAATGATCCCAATGGTCTTTTCCAACCTGAATGATTCTGTGATTCTATTTATACTGTCCTGCCTAAGCACTTGTTCCTATGTGTGTTTATCTCCTTGCTCTGCTGTCCTCCACAGTGCAGGCACAGTAATAGCTGCTGCGTTCAACAGCAGCTCTGTATTATGCAGCAGGCAAATGAGTTTCCTTCCTTCCTGCATCTCCATGGGATTCCTTCACCACTCAAAATATATGCTGGCAGAAGAAGGGGATCGCTGATCTGGCAGTGAAAGGTATACCATATTGTATACCGTCTGGTATAGCATCTTAAGCAAGCCATCATGAGCTTACACAAAACCTGCATTTAATTTCAAAGAAAAATCTGGTGTGTTACATCGTATTTCTAGGCTACCCTCACGCAGGCATTTTGGGGGAAACCAAAGACATTACTGAGAAAACTTCATTTACCTTCATAAAGATACAGGAACACTGAAGATAAATTTATTTCATCTGGCAAAAGAACCACTTAGAAACCTCCCACCCCCTTATCCTCCAAAAATTTTCTTCACTTGTAACAAACCAGTTGATATCCTACTAAAGCAACTAAGCTAACTAAACCCCCTCAAAAATATTTTTGTCAGATAACTACAGAGGGCACATAACACCAGTGCAGTTAAGTGCAGAAAGTTCATCTTTATGTAGGGTTAATGTTGGGTGTCTTACACTCCAAAAGCTCCTTTCTGGATTTCTTCAGAAAGCTGTCAATAAGCCCTTTAAGTGAAACGGTAGGTGCAGTATTTACCGTTCCTGTGGTTGGTGCTGTGGAAACAGAAGAAAAGAGTTTGACCACTTGGGAAGAAACCCTGCATACGTAACACACCACACCCTGCATGCATAACACAGACACACTCGGGTTGGACTGGACCTCTAGAGGTTATCACCTGGTTTACCCTCCTGCTCCACGCAGCATTAACTTAGCTCATTATTAGCTCAGGTTGCTCACTGTCTTGTCAAGTTTTGAAAATTCCCTGTTGTCTCTGGGCAACCTCTTTCAGTGCTTGATCACTCTCACAGTGGCTAGTAAGAGCCTTCTCAGAGCAAGAGTTGAACATTTGCTTAACACACCAACACTAGTGACCATCTACTTATTTTAAAAGCAGTCAGTGAAAATTAGGATATGTAGGCTGAAAGCTTGGACTCACCAACTTTAATAGGTTTCTTCTTCTCCTCTGGAGGAAAAAAAAAAAAAAAAAAAAAGTGGACTGTGAGTTCTACTGAGACTGAAAAGCCACTGATAGCCTACGCCCGCTGTAACACCACTGTCATGCTTTTTCTGAAGCTGCAGCAGTACATAAAGCTGACAGTCCAGCCTGTTGAAGCCATGTACAAATACACCTATACTGGGAAGCTCGCCTAGCCTGGAGAGAGCTTCATCTCTACTCCAGGATGCAGCATGTTAGGACAAGGGATAATAAGCCTGTTGGCACGAGGCACACAGACTATTCTGTTTCTTTTTACAACAGATTGAGTGCAGCAACAGAAGCTACAACTTCATTCATCTCCAGCAATCCACAACAGACCACAGTGAGTGCTCCACACACAGGACTTGTGAATGGAAAGGACCGTATGTCAAGAGCTCAGTGGAAGTAACAGAAGTAGTTTCTTATTTCAAAACGAGAATATGGAAGATCTTCCAAACAGGCTAGAGTGCCTCATTAATACCAGTATCTGGATAAAACAACACTGAAAGGCCCCAGTAGAACCTGCCATGAAGAACATCTCCATCACCCCAGCCTCTGAATGTAAGTGAGACTTGACCAGCAAAATGTCTGAGTAAGGCTGCTAGTAATCACCACTTACTGGTATCTGCCTCCACCTGCGAAGTGGCTTGAGTCTGGTGAGAGGTTTTCTCTCTCACAGTATGCTCTTGTGAGGCAAGCGAAAGAAAAAAAAAACAGAACATAAACACTTGTAAGCAGGATTCAATTCATACAAATACATCGAACAAGCCAACAGATATTTAGTACAAACAAAAAAAAACCCTGCAAGAACTAGAGGGTGGGGAGGCTCTGCATTGCTTTACAGCCTGCACAGACATCACTCCAGGCACACACTGAGGCTAACACACCGGTGTATCTGCACAGCTTGCTGCTTTAGAGCTGCAGAGGCATCCATCACTAAATAACCCAAACCACCCTCCCTTTTTCATGCCAGTGTGCTCACTACAGATAATCACGCATCACCGCTAAAGCAAAGAGCTCTCAGGTAACTGCTTGAATTCTTATTTAGTAATAAATCCATAGTTAGGAGAGGATGATGTTCTTTAGTACTTACGTGGTCCCAGAGTCTTCTTTCCAAAACTGGTTTTGTTTGGAGGAGCTGCTGGAGGGGGCTTAGTTTTCCCAGCCATTAGTTTTGCTGCAATGACCATATTTTACATTATGGTTTGTATTCCCAGGAACAGTAATGCATTAGTGAAGCATTTTTCAATCTTATTTTTCAGTCACGTGAATCGAACTTAAATGATACTTGGCAGAGATGGAAACTGCATAGAAGATACCCGTGTCCAGTCCAAAAGATACTTTTGCTTAAAAGAGTAAGTAGAGCTCTGTTCTACAACACTTCAACGATCAGCACCTTTACAGTTTGGTAACCATAGTCCTATCACTCTAAAATGTTTTACATCTCCCCTCAAATCCACATCTTAACTGCATCCAACCCTGCTACATAATAAAAACATACATTACTGTAAGGAATAAAGACTGAGCTGTGCCAGAAGGGCAGAGTATCATGATATTCCTCAGCTCATCCAAGTATAAGTGAAGAGACAATGGCATGTTTTTTCTCCTAGTTTAGCCCAGACTGTAGCATTTTTGTATGGAAATGGAGGGCTGCAGAAGTTAGAAGAGACAATTTACATTAACCAACTGTATTTGCTGCACTATTTTTTTTAAATGCTATTTGGGTTGGAGGGAGAAAAGCCCTCATTTGATCTCAAAGCCAAGGCAGAAAACGCCAATTCTCCCAGTGATACAGTACCTTCTGCTCTTGTCTCCCTACCCTGAGTCACTGAAAGTTTCACAGTGTCTTTAAGGTTGATGGTAGACAGAAAAGTGGAATGTATCAAGTTTTGGTTCATTTCAACTACAGGAACGAAAACATCTTTTGCTGATGTTTTTTGTAGTGCTGCTGCTCCCTGAAATGACAAATGGAATATCTCATGCAGACCACCTTGTGTAACAGACATAGAAAAATACAACCAAGTTACTTTACATGCACATCTTTAAATTAGATGTGCATTCATCTGAAATGCAAAGGAGCAAAGGCTACCGTCAGACATGACCCATGGCAAAATTTCAGCAGCAACCCACGTGCATTAATTCTCAAGTGACACCTGAAGCAGCAAGAAAGATCTAGATGGTGTCACAGCACAGAGCCGCAACACCTCGTGGAGGTGCATTCTCTCACCCTCTGGCCCCTCTGCTTGTGGGAGAGGTAATGGCTGAACTGGGGGAGTTACCAGACACCACTTCAGCACTCTTACACTGGTATTTGTGTACTTAGCAGTACATCCTTCTATAGCAGGTTCTTGCACATGACTGCATTACCATTTGACTGAAAGTGTCTGGAGAGCACGACTACCACAGCAGGTTTGTGTGATTCTGCATTCTAGAAACATGAAGAACTGGAGTTGCATTTAAAGGACGTATTACCTTCACGAACAGAATGTCATCGTTTTCAGTCAGCGCCTTCTCAATCCTATCTGTGAGAGACTGAATTTCTTTCTTCTTATATCCCAGAACAGAGTAAATATAATCAAACTTATTGCAAACTCTTTTTTCTTCCTCTGCAATTATTTTCAAGGCCTGATTTTCTCTTTCTTCGATTAAAGCTTTAATTTCCAAAAACTCACTTCTGATAAAATCTTTCTTTTTGGAAGCTTCTTCCTGGAGCAGACAAGAGCAGACAGACACTGGTTTCAAAAGCACAGTTTGTGAACAAAGTGCTGCTTACTACTACTACATGAAAGCCTTTAAGGAACACGCAGGCTTCAATTATGGAAAGCAAATTCATTTCCTCCCAAGGAATCAGGACAATGCTTAGTCTCCAGATCCCAGCTGCAGGGGCTGCGGGGCAGAGGCCAGGCCAGCCATCCAGCAGCTACCAGCACTGGGACAGGGCTGTGCCACGGCGAGCTAACACACCACACGGCCATCTGCACAGCTGCAGCTGTTCCTGCCTCTGACACGTGGCATCTCTTGTTAATACAAAGTTATTCCTGATCCTCTGAGAGACATTCCAGAGGAGCACAGAAGTGCTACCCTGGCAGCTTTTCAGTTTCAGTTTCTTGGTCTCTACCACTTGGTTCAGAAAGGATGGCACAAGGGAGATGCACCCAATCCAGCCATCAGCATGGCTGCAACCCCGATCATCAGCTAAGAGCAAGCATTAGTTGTGGTAATCTATGGGGAAGAGCCATCCCACAGGGGCAGCCGTTACAGCTCACTAATCCCTTCGCTCAGGCTGCATGGACACGCACTTTGGTGCCACAGAAAAGGATGGGTTACGGGCCAGGTGTGTCAGCACGTGCAAGTATAAAACCCTTGCACAGTGGCTGGTTTACTCCCATCTCCCACGGAGCTGCCTGGCTCCGCCAAAACGCCTCTTTTCTGTTCTTTCCCAGTGACGTCTTCTGCCAACGCCATCTCAATACTACAGCCGTTGTCGTAGGAGTACAAGCATCAACAACATGCAGTGACTAGCATATGCCAAGCGACCTGACAGCATTTAGAGCAGTTACCCACTTACAGCAGCTTGGCTTTGGTTTCTCTTCACAGTGTTCATTGCCTGAGCAGCTCTCTGACTCTGATCATGCAGCTCCACGAGTTTCTTCTTCAGCGCCAACTGCAATAGAAGAGATCAGAAACTATTTCAGAGAAGCAGTTGAAATGTCTGCTCTCAGCTGGGTCATGCTTACTGGAGTAAGAATCATCTTTACAGAAAGTTTTAAATAACTAAGCATTTAGTACTATTGGTTTAAAACCTACTGCTCCTTAAAGCTTACAGGATGTAAAAGTACTCTTCTAAATGTGTGGCTTGTGGAGCTGGTACCCTCCCCGCAGCTGCACCTCTCCCCACAGCAAGATGCACGCTGTTGACTTACCCCTGATAAGGCCCGAGTGCTTGCACACACAGAGCAGTTCCCAGTGCTAAGAATAAACATTACTTATGGTCTCGGCTTGGACTTTGGGCACTAGCTTAACACTACTGTTCACCCATCTTGTTTTAATTGAGAATTTTACTGCTCAGATGTGAATTACCTGTTCCTTTAGTTCAAGACCCTGCTAAGCTATATCAGGGAGGACTTCTGAGGGTAAGCAGTATACACACTCGCCAATAGATGGGAGTTTGTCCACCTAAACTTTTCAAACGTGCTTTACTCTTCTACCCTCTGATTTTCATCTGCACTAAGATACAAAGGCTTGGTTTCCTTCCCTTCCACTCTGTGGAGAACCTCTCCTGGCTTCTATCTACGTGCTAGAGCTCTCCTTAGGCTGCTTTTATAATTCTTTGCTTCTTAAGAACATACATAGAGCAATGTCTGTCTGCAGTCCCTCGGTCACCCTGTGGTACAGCCATGCAGTGAACCCTGCACAGGGAGCAGCGGAGGAGGCTCAGAGCTGCAGGTGACACCCGGGGCTCGCCGGTCAGCCCAGGACAGGACAGGAGCTGGCAATAGACTCCATGACAGTGCCCACCCCCGCCCTCCAAACACCATCTTGGCGAGAGGAGGAAAGCGCAAGGAGCGACTCCGAAGATGCGCTCAAGCGCGCGTTGGAGGGCGGGTAACAGCTCGCCAAGGCCAGGCATGAGATTTACAGTCCAAGTCTCGGTCCAGCACTCCACAGCCCACAACCCCGCTACCCAGGGAGCCACCAGGCCCCAGGGGGGCAAAGGGGAGCCCCGGCAAGAGCTGCCTGCCGCAGCCGCTCACCTCGGCGTCGGCTTTGGCCAGCTGCACGGGGCTGGTGTGACACAGCTTGTGGTCGAGGAGGCAGAGGGAGCAGAGGCAGCTGCCGTGCTTGCTGCAGAAGAACTCGAAGAGCTTGTTGTGCTGCGGGCACTTGCGGCGGTGGAGGTGGCGGAGCGGCAGGCAGAGCTGGTGGTCGCGGAAGGCCGGGCTGTCCTGGTGCGGCCGCAGGTGCTCGAGGCAGAAGGCGGCCATGCAGGTCAGGCAGGTCTGCGCGGCCGGCGCCTGCTGGCAGCTGTCGCAGAGCACGCAGGACACGCTCGCCCCGCACCTCGCCGCTTCCTCCTCCTCCGCCTCCTCTTCCACCTCCACCTCCTTCGCCTTCACCTTGTCCTCGACCCCGACGCAGCCCTGGAGCTGCTCCACCACCCGGCACAGCACCGTGTTCTTCTGCAGCTGCGGGCGCTCGGGGAAGGTGGTCCGGCACTGCGGGCAGCTGAA